AATAAAATTAAAATGATTAAAATCATCGTACAATGTATTGTTATATCTAATGTATTCATTGACAGATAGCGAGCAATTTTTGATTGTACTATATTAACATATATCCCTTATCCTATATTTAAAAAATCATTTGTGCTGTTTATCGTCAAGGACTAACGTTGGGAAATAAGGAATAAATTAATATACATAGCGAAAAAATCCGATTTAACTTCATTTGTTGAAGTCCCATGTGTTTGTAAGTTTGTATGTTTTAAGGCACACAGGAAAACATACCGAGAGCAGACCCTCTTAAAATGAACTCGATCATTGTTTGGTGATGGGGACCAGGTCTAAGATGTCATCAAAGTACAAGGACTTATACTTGTACCTTATTTCTACATAAATGTACTGGTTCATCGATAGGCGCAGTTAAAAAATCACGCGCGGGGCGGGACTAATAGAGGCAGAAACGGGACTGGTAGTGCGTGGATTGGCGGAATCAAGAGCATGTAAATATAAGAAATAACTGTCTTTTTTTGGATTTCATGGCGAAGATAAATCGATTGGCTTGCGTGATAATTTTGTGCATAACCACAAAACCACTCGATTGATCACATAATGATATCCAAACATCAGACAATCATTCCTTATACACGAATGAACCTGAGTCGAATTCCGAATGAAAATGATAATCACATGAATCAGGAGGTTAATTCATCTAGTTGTGAATTCAAAACACGATGAGTTTTCATATCATAGAGTACTGAAATATAAAAATAATACATGATAAAAAGGTAAGAATAGTGTTAATGTTTAAAAAGAACTGTATAGGGGGAAATTATTAATACATGTGATTAATGTTGTCTCGACAAATAAGTGTTATCGGAAAATATCATTTTACTGTCCTTTTGATAGATATGCACAGATAAAGTTGTTTTGATATAAATGTTACGGAAAAGTTTTCGCTGAAATGACAATCCATTTATAAAAAAACAAGTTTTGAGAGAGAGAGAGAGAGAGAGAGAGAGAGTTATTATCTAGGTGTTGTATGCTTAACAAATAATATAGATTGGAAGTTTGAGATTATTTTGTCTGCCTGGATTATGTGTTTCGTGCATTACTATTAAAACATGCTAATTAAATCATAAGAAAATATCATTCCTAAGGGATTGGGAAATGGCGCATATATATTCATAATTGTTTAGACATTATTTTGATGTTTACAATACACATACAAGTGAAAACTTTAAGATTTACAATACAAAAAAAAAATACTGAACCCGAATTCCATAGATATCTTTAGAACGTTTTCAGGCTTAGAAAGTTTGTTCTCGGGCTGCTTTCTATGATGTGAGAATGTAGCAGCATTTAATGACAAATATTTACATTTGCAAATGTTTTCCTTTACATAACACTACTTAAAGCAATGCATATCTATAACTGTATAAATACTGGTACGGGGTCAAGAGGTCATAGATGTTTGTATAAATAATCTTTCGACGTAATTTCTCAGTGACGTCATGAAAGGTCGACGCGCCTTCAGTGGATAACATACATGTCGTTGGGTTTAAAAAATGATGCATTTCACACGTTAAAAGTCACGGTCAGGCAAAAATAATTTAAAGTATGAATAAGTCACAAATGTTTATTTAAGTAACAAGGTATTATTTTAAAACATCTATCGGGCTGTAAATACGGGTTGGTACGAGATTAAATTTATCTATGGAATTCAATCTCTTGACCAACTCGTATTTAAATCCCGAAAAATGTTTAAAAATGAAACATTATTTCTTAATGACATTCCCTTTTTAGACACTTTAGTTTTGTTACGTGCAGGTTGACTGTATTTAGGTAAAAAAAAAAAAACAGCAGCCGTGTTTTGTTCCCATCCTTATCAACAATGTTACTTTATTTCTTTCAGTATATAAAAATATGAATAAACGATAGTGATTTAAATTGTTTGATAATTTACAAGTACATTTATCCTAGACATCGGGCCCATCATAAAAGCATGAGAAAATTATAGAATATTTTAAAATAATTGTGAAGGCAGAATTTTTATGTTTACAATACAAGTGAACATTCCAGTTGATAATACCGAAAATACTGATCGTGAATATCATAAATATTTTTAAAACGTTATTTTTGGCTTAGAAAGATTGTTCTCAGACTGTTTTCTATGAAGATAGAACGCAGCAGCATTAAATGAAACTAAAATAACACTTTTTTTCATATCACTTAGAATCTTATTGTGTTTAATGTTACAAAAGGTTATTCGAAGAGAATCCTATTCTATTGTTATCTTTTTATCTCTCAAGGAAGGTCTATCACATCTCAAAAAAAGTAGTTGTACTAAAAATTGAAATCAACTGCATTAACTATATTTTTAAAAACATTTTTGTGCATTGTCAACCTGAGCACACATTTTACAGATTGTCCAGATATGGAATTTGAAGCAAGTTTATTAGTTGTGCGATGTGGTTTAACGAAATATTGAGATACCGGCACATTTTAAGAAATGAAAAAGGATTGCAATACAAATAATTACAAGCCCACGGTATATAATGATAGAACCTTAGCATTAAATTATGAAGCAACAACATATAATTATAAGTAAAAACCACAGCATCTAATTATGAAGTCACAGCATGTAATTATATAATAGTATCATAGCACATAATTATGACCCCACGTCATGTAATCATATAATAGAACCACAGCGTATAATTATGAACCAACAGAATGTAATTATATAATAGAACCACAACATATAATTATTATAATAGAACCATGATAATGGACCCACAGCATATAATTAAAAACCCGCAGTATGTAGTGATAAAACCACAGCATATAATAAAAGTAAACTACAGCATATAATTATAAACCCACATCATATAATAATGAACCCACAACATATAAATAAACCCACAGAAAATAAGAAAATTAACCACAGCATAAAACAATGAACCAACAGCATATAATAAAACTATCTACATGTAACATAGGCAGCCATGGCGTTCCGTATTTTCTTTAGTTACTTTAATTACCTCTAATGTAGCACAATGTTTATACAATACTATAGGTATTGAAATTGTGCAATATAAAAATTATTGCATTCATACTTTAAATTTTGACTTGAAATTGTCTTGTTCATCCTATTGTCCATGAGTAAATGTTCTGATTTTTGCAAAGAATCATATGGGTGAATATTTTGATTTTTTAAAAATGGTTGTATATTATATTATCATAGCCCAATTTACTTTGAAATTCTTTGAAGACAATAATAATGGAGAAAAGTGAAGTGTCTGATAAGTTATTTTTAGAAAAGAAAATTTCCATCTTTAAAATTAGAATACACGACATTGGAAAATATGCGTACACGATTCTGAAGCGAAAGTTATTGACTGAGAATTTGACCGTGTATAATGACAATGGTGACGACAGAACGACTGCACGTACTGTTTGGAGTTGTGTGTATTTTATTCATTTAAATATATTTTGTTTTGTGGTACATATTGATTTGCTCCACTGCATTTTATACTGTATAATACCTAGGTGGCACAGTGAGACTTCGAGAATGGCGGATATCTGACTAAATAGACTACATCTTCGAATCAAAGATTTCTATCCCTAGGTAGGTTTCATTCCCTATTTATTATCTTTTTTTCTTTAAATTGTTACATAAATTTGAAAAAGTGCGATTGCAGAAGGTAAATATTTAGCTTTTTCAGATTAGGACTGGATGACGTAACCATGAGGCATGACAGCCATTGCCAGGTCTATTACGAAAACTTAGATTTTTAGTTGTTTTCACATTGTTTAGCAATGTTAAGTTTGCAAAATCCTACGTTCCTTAAAAATCTACATAATTGTTGTGTTTGCATGTCATTTGACATGTTATTTATCTAATTGTTATCATGTCAGCAGACTGCTGATTACCTTGACCTTGTTTTTAAATGCTATTAGTGTAATGCACGTAGGCGTTCACAATAAGGCATTCAAAGTAAAAACAAAAGATCTTAAAGGAGAAGGAAATGAGGTATTTTAAAACTCTTTTCAATGGGTTGTGATTTTACAAACCAGCTGAAGGATTTTGGACCCAGATCGTCATTTCAATACAATAATTATTAAAGGAAAGGAACACGTGACAGTGGTTTAAAATGTAAATATGACTTATTTAAGCGATATGCACAAGTGGAAAAATGATTTTTGTTATACGAAAGAAACTTCTATTAATATTATTGGAAAATGCATATTTAACAAATTTTTAGAAGGTTATAAATTGCATAATCCGTATAAGTTAAAACGGTACATTAAGATAACTGTGTACTTTTTTTTGACTTTTTTTTTCATTTTCAGAAAATGTGATGTTACTGTCTTGGCACTCCTCAACAATATAATTATTACCAAGTGAACACATGAATTAAACAACATCAACCTAAGCATTACTTCATAATGGCCTCATCTACTCCAACTGTACCTCCGGCCACAGGAACCACGCCTACTGTGTCACCAGAGGAAACCAACTTCCTACGATTTGTCAATCTGGTCCTGAGGAGAACACCAAAGGCCCTGAGGGTCCATTTTGATACAGTTCATCCTCCAAGTAACCTTGTGAATGACCTGGCAACACAGAAAACTACCCTGTCAAGCTTGAAAGCTAGAAAAGTAATAAATCAGGTCCAGTGGGTCACTTTATTTGGAGGTATATTGACGACAGCGTGAAAGGAAGTGTTTAAACATATTCTTGTCAATATCTAACAAATTCACATGTACTTGTCAATATCTAACATAATTATATAGTTAATGATTTATCTAAATCGAGAGGCTGTGGTCTGCAAGCGTATCAATGTACCCTGCATTTCCAATGACAATTTATTACAATTTTCTTCTACAGAAAGTGATTGCAAATGTCTTTGCACTTTCTACTTCAGTTTAAAACGTAATGATAAAAGATTTATAGGATAACTCTCTTTCTCTTACCTAATATTTCCGAATTTTATTTTCAATTGTTTTAGTTTCCAATCCTATGTCAAAGGACTTTGATGTGACACTGTTAATCTGCCTTTTACGAAACATGAGTCCCTCTACACCAGCACCAGCCGGAGGATTCGACATTCTACCCAGTCTGTCAGATGTCAGTACTGGGGCTGACTTAGCAAGAATTAAGTTCTATAGAAACAAAGTGGCCCATTCAGCAGATGCAAGGATGAACATAAATGAATTCAACTCAAGCTGGACGGATGTTGAAGGGGTAAGCAAAGATTGTAAGCCATATGATAGAATTTGTAAAGTGGTTGATTACAGAGAAAATGCATGTTTCACTTCATCATGAAAAATTGATGCAAGAAAAATTTATTCATGAAACGTTTTCAACCTGCATTAACATGGTTAATTAACGGCACTCCCTTTATAAAGAAATGAAATAAAAGGTAAAATCATTTCGAACACCCAAGAGAGCATTGTGAATGGAACAAGCGGTGAATGAGCAATAAGCACGGAAATCGATAAGGTTAACTTATTCACATTAATTTTTTTTTTACCAGATACAGATGATTTTCATATTAATCACCGTGTAAATAAAAACTTTTAGGCTATTGGAAGACTTGGAGGTTCTACATTACTATATGAAACGAAAACTTTAAGATTTTCTCCAATGGATGAGTCCGAGAGAGAACTTATATTGGAGCTTCTTCTCGAAATTAATCAATTGAGACTGGAAAATTTAGAAACGGTCCCTTGGAATGTTAGAGGTAATATATGTATATGAATAAAATACAAATCACATTAAAAAAAATCACATTTGATCTCTTGATATTACAGTATTCTTTAACCGTAACTTATTTTTTTACAACAACTTCGGTAAATACAATTTATGTCAATCTTCTAGCAAAAGATCAAAATATTTTTGGACTGCCAAGATTAATGATTTCCTATAATGAACTAAAATGAGAGCAATATTTTTAATTTTGAAGGTTTCACACAAAATCAAAACGTTAAAAAATTATCATATAAGTGGTGTTTTGTTTTTCTAACCAACTGCAGAATCAATTGAAGAAAAATTAATGGCCTGGGAGGAAGAAGATCATTTGTTTGTAGAAACAAAAGCATCAACCAGTATCGAAAAGTTTGTTATGGAAAATTCATGTGTTGTGGTTGTTGGTCATCCAGGGTCAGGAAAATCAGCTATTATTCATCACATTGCTCTTAAAATGGGAAAACAAGGATTTTCTGTTATACCTATTAAAAGCCCTGATAAAATTTTGGATTATTACAACAAAAGACACGCTCAAGTGTTTGTGATTGATGATCCATGTGGTGAATTTTCGGTTAATGATCAGGCTTTTGAATGGATCAAATATTCCGAAGACATTAAGCGATGTCTGAACTTTAAACAAAGGAAAGAGCAAGTTCAGTCAAAACTTCTTGTTTCGTGTCGATTAGCTTTAACCTCAGACCATAAATTCCGTAAAATTAAGGTGTTTTCCAATTTCATATTCAGTTTAGAAAACCAAAAAAATCATTTATCGATAACTGAGAAGAAAAAGATCTTAGAAGCTCACTTTCAGTGTGAACTTGATTTTCCACCAAAGCTGTTTGAAAAGCATATTGACTGTTTCCCGTTGCTTTGTAGACTGTATGTTCACGTTTGGGCTGATCCAAAGTGTTTGGAATCTTTTTTTGAAAATCCGTTTATTCATTTGGTCTCAAAGCTAAACCTGATGATAGAAGATCCAAAACGAGAAAGCATTTATGAATATTGTGCTTTAGTTTGTTGTTCCCTTTCAGAAGACAAACTTGCTTTATATCTATCTAACAAGGATAAAAATCCATCTGACAACTTTGAGTGCCTTGAACAAATTCACAATGCTTGTGAAATTGATCTCAATCCCTCGGAATTATTATCTGCTGTGAACAGACAAAGTGGAAAGTATATCAAACAAGTCGGCCAAACATTTTCTGTAATACATACAAAACTACTGGATATAATCATTTGGCATTTCGGGAAACAATCACCAAAAACATTGATAAAATTTTCTCCATTAGAAATATTTCAAAATAGGCTTAGACCTTTTGGAAAATTAAAATGTGATGATAATAAAGATTTGTTCCTCGTAGAATTGGACGAAAGTATGTTGACATGTTACGTAGAAAGAATACAAAAAGATATAGAACGAGGAATAGTTGTTGAAGTTTTTCAAAACCCAGCCCTGCCAAACGCAAAGGTTGAATCTTGCATATTTTCACTGTTAGAAGAGAGGCATGTCTTGGCTGAAACACTAACGAAAACAGGCCAAAGCTTGTCAGCAGGTAGAATGGACTCTATGACTTCGTTTTCGAAAGAAGAATTATTCAGAAATAGCCAAATTTCATTTCTTCATTTACTTATTGCATACAACTGGTCAACATTTTTAGAATATCTGTTTCAAATGGAAAATGAGACTCTTTTTCAAACATTATTTGATCAGAAGGCATGTTCAATATATTCGGCTATTCTTAGTGGGAATATTGAAATTGTTAAATGGTGCTTTGACTACTATTTTAAAATATATGAAAGTGTTCAATACCTTATGGAGGAAATGTTTTCAGATGATAATTGTTTGTATTGTGACTTTGATAAAAAAAAGAAAAGTCATGAAGATTATTGTCAAATTGCACGAATCCCATTGTCAATTCTTGTCTGTATAACGGGGAAAATAGAAATATTGGAATTCCTTATCCAAAAGAAAGTCTGCTCTCAGGCAGATCTTACCTCAAATTTTCATTTAATGGAAGAAATGGTTTCACCTTTAATGGTAAGCAGTTTATATGGGCATTGTGATCTTACTCATTTCTTGTTGTTAAACGGGGCAACTGTAAACTTTCAGAATGAACTCGGTATTTCTGCACTCCATGATGCCTGTCGGAATAATCATATAAGTGTCATTAAACTGTTGCATGACTTTGGAGCTGAAGTAAATATCAAAGATGACAACGGTGAGACACCATTCTCCCTAGCATGCCGAAATGGTTCATTGGAAGCTGCAGATCTTTTGATTACTCTTAGGGCAAATGTCAATTTACAAGACAATCTTGGATGGACAGCTCTACATTCATCTATTTTTTTTGAGCAGAAAAGAATGATTCCTTTCCTAATTGAAAAGGGATGCGACATTAACTTGACTGATAATGACGGCGAAACTTCTTTATCGTTAGCATGTTTTCTTGGAAATTGCGATACCATCAAGTATCTACTAGAAAAAGGGATAAATAGACAATATCAACAGACTGGACTTTTGAAAGCTTGTCAAAGTGGAAAAGTAAATACCGCCTCTTTCTTATTGGAACAAGGACTGGATATAAATTATAGGGATGAGAATGGTCTGGCAGCACTTCACGTCAGTTGTGCGCATAACAACTCAGAACTTCTTCATTATCTGCTCTCCAAAGGAGCGTGTCCAAATATTCTCACCAACGACAATCGAACTCCTTTGCATATTGCTTCAGAAAATTTATTTGAAGAATGCATCTCAATTCTTGTAAAACACGGGGTAAATATAAATGCATTAGATATGGAGAATAAAACAGCACTACATTACGCATGCCGAAATCCAAACACTGAACGATTTTTTACACACGAGACAAGAAAAAATGACAGGTGTTTCCATGGGAAACTGAATGAGTTAACGGACGTCCAACAGAATTCTGGATCCAATGTTATTTCAAATAATACACCGGATATGACCAAATATATATTGGATTACTGTCAATATGAAAACTCATTAATAGAGAAACTTGAAAGGATAGTCAATATTCTTATTCAGAGTAATATCGATATAAACATTCCTGACAAAGATGGCATTACTCCCTTACACACTGCCTGTTTAGGGATTTTTTCAAACGTCATCGAGATGCTTTTGAGAAATGAGGCACAAGTTAATTTGCTCGACAAAGATGGACGAACTCCTTTACATGTGGTGTGCTTAAATGGAAATTCAAAGGTGTTAATGTTACTTATACAAAATGGAGGAAATGTTAATATTGCGGACAAGACCGGATCGACACCGTTACATATCGCTGCTCAACACCACAATATTGATATTCTTTCTAGTTTAATTTCTAATGGAGCAAATGTGAATTTTCAGGATCACAATGGTTTAACACCATTGCACGTTTCATGTTACAATGACGATATAGATATTGTACAAAAGCTGTTGGAGTCTGATGTCGATGCCTCAATTCTTTCGAAAGATGGTCTGGATCCTCTAACGGTGTCAGTTGCAAACGGCTACTTTCATATATCAGAAGAAATTTTGAAAAAAGGTGTTCACATACATGATATGAACTTTTCGTATTTGCTACAATGTGTCAAGTGTAAATCAATTATTTGCCAAGTTTTGGAAGAGTACAATGAATTCTTTACCTACAGAAATAGTGAAGGACAGACTCTTCTACACTTAGCAACCTTGGGAAAAATGATACTATGGATTGAATGTCTCCAAGGCAAGGACGATTTGATTAACGTTTCCGACAACGAAGGACATATTCCCTTTTTTTACGCAATTGAAAACGATCTGCAAGACATTATAAAATTATTTTTAAAAGAGGACCTGTCTGAGGCAATGGAAATTGAATATCTTCGCATGGCACATAAACTAGGCAGAGGAGATATAGTATCAATACTGTTCGAAAAATATCCCAGTTTACTGAGTAATTTAAATGGGAGTGATTATAGAATCGTACCGAAGTTGCTGAGGACCCAACGTGTATCCAATAAAATAATGGAAAATGCTTTAAAAAGCAGAAAGTACCTAGACATATACAGCATTATTCTTGTTGATCTTCCATGTGAGTTATGGAACGTTCATACAAGCACAGTACCATGTCTATCTCCAGAAAACTGTATGACAAGCGACCGCAATTGGTTAGAGGAGAAAAAGATAATTGATGAAGTGAGATCCATTAGAAATGTTACAGATTTATACCCCCTTGATATATGGCCGCTTCTTTTCTACTCAGATTATTCTCCGATGTTTGAAAGTGTATCATGTTCCGAATTTGTTCGTTTTGCTACATTGAAGGATGAAATTGGAAATACCTTTTTACATTATATGTGTTTGATGAAAAATGATTTATCGCGTATAAAACATTATTTATTTTTATTGAAAAATAAATATTCGTTCTATGATTTTTTTTCCCAAAATACGGTAGATATAAGAGAGCTTATTAATATGCAGAACCTTGCGGGATGTACACCTCTACACTACGCAGTAAGAAATCCTCACGCATTTCGTTTACTTGCTGACTTGGGTGCTGAAATCGGAATTAAGGATAAATCTGGTCATTATGCTGAACATTATATGGAATGTCGAACAACATCTTTTTTAAAAAATATTACTTCCGTGCTATCAATTAAAAATTGAAATAGATACAAAATTAATCAAATAACACAAGAGCATTGCAAAGAGGAGCATCCCCTCGCAAAGAGCATATCATTTAAATCAAAACAGCATTGGACATAAATTCCAATGTTAATTTTATCACTTCCGTTTCATACATCGCTAGCTCACTCACAAATGAACACACACAATTACGTTACTATATCTATTTTGCGAGGGTTATAATATACTGAGATGCAAAAAAACATTAAATCAGTGTTAATGTGTTAATGAGTAAGAATGAAAGGTATTGATCGACATATGTATCTGCAATAGTCTTATTTTTATTTTCAATCTTCACTCTTCCATTGTTGATATGAATAAGGGAGGTGAACTTTTGAATTTTGAAGTACATCAAATTAAGCGAAACGTAAAACATTTTACTGTTGTAAAATTGTGTCAAAGCTTTCATTATCGTTGGATGTGTTTGTAATATGTTTCAATGTTTTAAGATGATGTTTATGCAAATGTTTACAGATGTGTTTTAGCAGTTTTTAAAATAAAATACATTGGCATGTTTGTGAGTGTCTTGAAAGATTTTGCATGGTAAGATATTCAATGAAAATAATTCAATTCTCATAAATGCAGCTGGGCACAGAAACTATGTCCCAGCTTATCTGTCTAACGTATCTTCGTTAGAGCGTCTGCTCTGGAGTAGCGTAGTATGGAGGTGATCCTTACCTCGCAGGTTCAAATTCCACTGTGGGAACTGGAGAGATCCTTGGGATTAGACCGTATAAACCGAGGTCCCGTTTTGAAGTAGGTGCTGACACGAAAAAATCCCTATCTGCTCAATAGCCTTGGATGCCGGGTATAGAACAAAATCTGCAGCTCTCCGACGGACAGTAGTGGCGTCTCCATATGTCATTGAGTGAAAAAATTCTCAAGAGGGACGTTAAACAATATGCAATCAATCAATCTTTATGTTAAGAAGAAAATGTTCGATACATATAATCATCAAACTTCATACATTTTATATACATGTGCAATGGTGCACTTTTTGGCTTTATTTTGAAACTGTAACGTACTTTGGATCATTATAACTGAACATTCTAAATGACCTAGGCTTACTATTCTTTATGTCAATTTTCGTCAATTGTAAAATTCGTGGATTGAAAAGCATGAATATATTGATGAAAAATTATTTTTTTTATTTTTCCATTAACTTTGACCCTCTATATAAATGAGAACTACGCTATGATAGCTTTTACCTTGTATGAAGCTTTAAAATTTTTAATATTGTTTTTGTCAAGGAAGATCACAAATGTGGCGCTTTATACTTGAAAAAAAAATTACTGACAACTCTTAAAAAATTGTGATATTAATGATAATACTTTTCAACGTTGCTTTACGATTTTTTAAAAAGTTTATTGATTGATTGATAATGTTGTTCTATGTCATTGATTGAATTATTGTTGATGTGGTTCCATATGATGATTATTCATTCGTATAAGAGGTACAAATACCGTTTCTTGGCTTTAAAGATCTTAAAATTAAGTAGTTAAAATTTGGTCTTGTTTTAAAAGTTCAAATTAATAAACCTCATAAAAAAGAATCACAGGATCAACTTATATTGTCCCCAGCTCTTATTAAGTAATATTTATCATTGCAACTGTTTTATAGGGATATATCTTTATTTCTAAAACTACTAGACTATCTTACAAACACACAGTTATCTTATAAAATATGAATCAATCATGTATGTCAGTTAAACATATTTTAAGAATCCAAAGTTAATTTGAATCCCCAGAATTACTTAAACTTTAGAAAATATCTAAATGGGATAATTGGGATCCAGATAATGCTTAAGAAAGCCTCTATCTCTGGAAACGATATTTTTAAAAAATGGAAATACTCCACTATTTTAGCATAGCATGCAAGAGAAGAAGAATGTCGTTTTAAACAACAAAAGCCTTTCATAAAAATTTAAAAATATTATTGAAGAAATAAATACAGTCAAAAACATGAAAGGTATGCACTTCATAAAGACGTTCTATAGAATAATTTTTCAGAAGAGAATATGTAGGAACCATAAATTACTATATTTTAAATTAAATTACCCAACAACTATGAATATCTTGTGACTAGTCATTATCATAAGAATATTTTGTTAACCATGGTGATTGCAAGTAATCTAAAGTGTCTGTTTTAAAGATGCTGGTATTCAAAAAGGATATGTGAACATAAAACGTTTGTCAACAAGAACCTAAAATACGGTTGTCTACATGGTGCAATGATTAAAGCGTCTGTTGTAGGGTCACAAAAGAGTTAATCCTCATGTCGAAGATTCGAATCCCACAGTGGGACTTGATGTTGGTCCCTCGGATGAAAACGCATAAACTGAGATCCCATTTTGCAGTATGTAATGGAACGAAAAAGATCTCTCACCGCTATATGGCCTGAAGTGCAGAGAACATGTCAACCCCCCTCCCCCCCTCCTCTTACACAAATAAAAAAAAATCAAATTTACAACAGTGATTCATGCAATAGGAAAGTAGGTCAAGAACCAGGCATTCATGTACGTTCGCATAAGAACATAATTATAAACTAGTTATTTTAACATAAACAATGCTTTTGAATTTAATTTAACATCATTAACATTCATTTCTCATTATTTTCTTCATTTTGTTTGATGAATCAAAAATGTACACAATGTGAGTCATTTTGGAAGTCATTTACAACATCAAATTAAACAGGAAAGAAAATGAAAATGGTGTGAGCAACAGGTGTTGATATGTGAAATGAAAACATAAGTTTCCGTATCATGCAGTACTGAGTAGTGAGTAGTGAATTCATTAAGGAAAAATAGGTTGCAATAAGTATTATGCGATAGAAAAACACTATGTAGCAGGCCTTTCAACTAATTTTTCAAGTTGCAAATATGGTAAAAAAAACATTTCAGAGATTGATTTTTAGGTACAAGAAATTATCAAAATAGATAATTACTTATGCATACCTTAAATTAAATCATTAAAAAGTTAAAATATTTGTATTTGACTACTTCGATGTTGTGTTTTAATGACAGGTAACTCAGGTTTGAAAAATGACCAACTAAGTGCAGATTTCTGAGTTATCGTTTATATGAATGACATATAGGCTGCTTCAGCATTGGTATTGTTATGTTAAAAAAAGGGTAACCGGTTTCTTACATTGTTTTGTACGCAAGAGTGTTGACCAAAAGAAGAAGAATGTCTGCACTCTTCCTGAAATAACAGGGTCAAATGAATGGGGAACAGACAATATTCAACATTTTAACTCTCTTTGACGATTGTTATGAAGAAAAAAATTTAATGTCATGTTTTACATGTGCACACTTCTGCGCTTCCTAAATAAACATATATATTTTTACAAGTAAATGCCACAGTTAATTATCGAATTTGTATTACTAAGCACGACGAAGAACGACCGAGAATAAAAATCAAATTAGGTTAGAACTTAAAAGGAGGGTACTTCACTTTTTATTTTAATTAAAATTTTGACTTATATGTAATTAAACAGTGTCCGCATCTGTATAGTAAATAAATTTAACATTAGTGCTAAATTTTAAATTCACTGGATTCTACTGACAACAGAGAAACATTGGGAAAACTGATTTTGTGTATTAACAGTTTGATACCTCGGACCTGCTCTTAACAAGTTTTAGCAACCAGTTAGCGTTCATAACAAGGAACCCTAGCGGCAATTGAAAGGCCTATATGTAGGGGAAATGTTAAAACGTCTGTCGCCACGAATTTAAAGTGTTAGCCGAATATATTGATATGATGTTCCTTTGATTGATGCTTAGAATAAAACTGTGTTTTAGTCTGTCTGTCAGTCCATCTGTAGTTCTGTCTGTCTGTAACACTTTCACTTCCCCGCAATATCCCGTGAAGTCTTTGAGCTTTTGCAGTGAAATTTTCAACAACTGTTTACACCTTACGTGGCCTTTCGAAGACCCTCTTGATTTTGAGGTCAAAGGTCAAGGTATTAAATTCAGAAATTCTATTTGTTTTCAACACTTTTGTTTTCGCGCGATGTCTCTGCAAGCCATTGAGCTTTTGCAATGAAAGAAGATGGGAGCATTTGGCGGGTGATCCACAAGAATCATTTGTACGAAACATTTATGGTTTAAATGATCATGATTTGGTTGGCTGAACATAGCTGGTCAGATTTTGGGGTTATTTTTTCATTTACTTTGAAAGACATTGTTAAATTGTATAATTTATGTCCATTTTTTTAGGGGGTACTATAACATAGCAATGTTTCACAAAAAATAAAACCTAAAATATTTAATCCATACATGCATGATACGTGTACATGTACATTATAGAATAGAAGATTACAATTGATTCCTCTTGAGAACCAAACTGAACCAAAATTTATCTAATTCAAAATTTTAATACATCAGAACTTAAAACGAAACTGACAAAATAAATGATTGTTTGCCTGAATAAAAAAAATTAACGCGCGCCCCATGCCAGGCTCGAACAAAAAATTTCTCGCTTCGCGTACACGAAACGGTAGCCTAGCTTACTGAGCTATCACTGCTACACATGTACACATGTTTTTAAAATATAAGAAGCACCACAACGACAAATTTGGATTTTGGGGAAAAGTTAATTTTTCGTTGTCTCTGGGCCTTCTCTCCATTTTAAAAAAAAGTGTATGCTTTTCTTTGAATTAAAATACACACAATTAACGTTTCAAAATAATGGGGAGAAGACCCAGACATAGAAAAAAAAAATAAAAAAAAAAACGTGTTTAAAAATGTACCATTTTGTACAAAATGTCTGATATGGCCAATTTCCAAGTTATTTTTTTTTTAGAAAATCAAAGCTCAATTTCGGGAAAATATTTTCCGTTTCTGTTGCACATGTACAGGAACCCGATAAATTAAAGAAATGTTAAAATTTCATGTGACATGTCAATAAAATTTTCACTTTTCAATTACGCCCAGATTCCTGCCGAATGCCAATCAAAAGCGCCTCGTTCTTTTATACCACAACTCCCTAAGGCCATATATATGGCGTAAGGAATACCCCTATGTATTTTGAGGTTGAAACGTCAATGTCATAAATTCATACTACTGTGTGACTATGTGTAAAACTTTCATTTCAAGTCAATATCTCAAGAAGGTTTTGAGTTTTTGCAATTAAATGTCATAAACCATAACTCCCTATGGCCCCGCCCTTGAACCCCCCCCCTCCCTTCCCCCATCTGCGCATGCTT